CAACAGATTACTGAAGAAATCATGAGGGAAATCAAAAAATTTCAAGAAACAAATGATAATGAAAACACGACAACTCAAAACCTATGGGATGGATCAAAAGCAGTTCTAAGAAGGAAGTTTAGAGCAATATAATCCCACCTCAAGAAACAAGGAAAACATCGAATAGACAACCTACATTTACACCTAAAACAACTGGAAAAACAGAAAAACCCCAAAATTAGAAGAAGGAAATCATAAAGATCAGAGCAGAAATAAATGAAAAAGAAATGAAAAAACAGCAAAGATTTATAATAAAAGTAAAAGCTGGTTCTTTGAGAAGATAAACAAAATTGACAAACTTTTGGCCAGACTCATCAAGAAAAAAAGAGAGAAGAATCAAATCAACAAAATTAGAAATGAAAAAGGAGAGGTTACAACAGACAATGCAGAAATACAAAGGATTATGAGAGACTATTATGAATGACTATATGGCATTAAAATGGATAACCTGGAAGAAATGGACAGATTCTTAGAAAAGTTCAATCTTCCAAGACTGAACCAGGAAGAAATAGAAATTATGAACAACCCAATTACAAGCAGTGAAATTGAAGCTGATTAAAAATCTCCCTAAAAACAAAAGCCCAGGACCAGATGGCTTCACAGGAGAATTTTATCAAACATTCAGAGAAGAGATAATGCCTATTCTTCTAAAACTCTTCCAAAAAATTACAGAGGAACACTTTCAAACTCATTCTATGAGGCCACCATCACCCTGATACCAAAATCAGACAAAGACAACACAAAAAAAGAAAACTACAGGCCAATATCACTGATGAACATAGATGCAAAAATCCTCAACAAAATCTTAGCAAACAGAATTCAGCAACACATCAAAAAGCTCATACACCAAGACCAAGGTGGGTTTATTCCAGGGACGCAAGGATTCTTCAATATACACAAATCAATCAATGTGAACTATATTAAAAAACTGAAAGATAAAAACCATATGATCATCTCAATAGATGCAGAAAAAGCCTTTGACAATATTCAGCACCCATTTAAGATTAAAACTCTTAAAAAAGTGGGCACAGAATGAACCTACCTCAACATAGAAAGGGCCATATATGATAAGCCTACAGCAAACATTCTCAATGGTGAAAAACTGAAAGCATTCCTCCAAAGATCAGGAACAAGACAAGGGTGTCCACTTTCACCACTATTATTCAACACAGTTTTGGAAGTCCTAGCTAGAGCAATCAGAGAAGAAAAAGAAATAGAAGAAATCCATATCAGAAAAGAAGCTCTCACTGTTTGCAGAGGACATGATACTGTACACAGAAAATCCTAAAGATACTATCAGAAAATTACTAGAGCTGATCAGTGAATTTAACAAGGACACAAGTCGCAGGATACAAAATCAATACACAGAAATCACTTGCGTTTCTATATACAAATAATGAAAAATCAGAAAGAGAAATTAAGGAATCAATCCCATTCCCCACTGCAAGAAAAAGAATTAAGTATCTAGGAATAAACATACCTAAGGAGACAAAAGAACTGTACACAGAAAATTATAAGACACTGATGAAACAAATCAGAGATGACATAAACAGATGGAGAGATATTCTGTGTTCCTGGGTAGGAAGAATCAATACTGTGAAAATAACTAAACTACCAAATGTGATCTACAGATTCAATTATATCCCTATCAAATTACCAATGGCATTTTTCACAGAACTCGAACAAAAAATGTCACAATTCACATGGAAACACAAAAGACCCCAAATATTCAAAGTCATCTTGAGAAAGAAGAATGGAGCTGGAGGAATCCACCTTCCTGACTTCAGACTATACTACAAAGCTACAGTCATCAGGACAGTATGGTACTGGCACAAAAACAGAAATATAGACCAATGGAACAACATAGAAAGCCCAGAAATAAACCCATGCACCTATGGGTACCTTCTTTTTGACAAAGGAGGCAAGAATATACAATGGGGCAAAGAAAGCCTCTTCAATAAATGGTGCTGGGAAAACTGGACAGCTACATGTAAAAGAATGAAATGAGAGCACTTTCTAACACAATACACAAAGATACACTCAAAATGGATTAAAGACCTAAATTTAAGACCGGAAACTATAAAACTCTTAGAGGAAAACATAGGCAGAACACTCGATGACATAAAGCAAGATCCTCTATGGCCCACATCCTAGAGTAACAGAAATAAAAACAAAAGTAAACTCGTGGGACCTGATTAAACTTAAAAGCTTTTGCACAGCAAAGGAAACTATAAGCAAGGTGAAAAGACAACCATCAGAATGGGGGAAAATAGCAAATGAAACTGACAAAGGATTAATTTCCAAAATATACAAGCAGCTCATACAACTCAATGCTAGAAAAACAACCCAATCAAAAAGTGGGAAAAAGACCTAAACAGACATTTCTTCAAAGAAGACATACAGATGGCTAACAAACACATGAAAAGATGCTCAACAATGCTCATTATTAGAGAATTTTCCCTGATGCTGGGAAAGATTGAAGGCAGGAGGAAAAAGGGACAACAGAGGATGAGATGGTTGGATAACATCACCAACTCAATACACATGAGTTTGAGTAAGTTCCGGAAGTTGCTGATGGACAGGAAAGCCTCGCATGCTGCAGTTCATGGGGTCACAAAGAGTTGGACACGACTGAGTGACTGAACTGAAGACAAATGCAAATCAAAACTACAATGAGATATCACCTCACACTGGTCAGAATGGCCATCATCAAAAAGTCTACAAACAATAAATGCTGGAGAAGGGGTGGAGAAAAGGGAATGCTCTTGCACTGCTGGTAGGAATGTAAATTGATAGGCCACTATGGAAGATGGTATGAAGATTCATTAAAAAACTAGGAATAAAATCACCATATGACCCAGCAATCCCACTCCTAGGCATATACCCTGAGGAAACCAAAACTGAAAGAGACACATGTATCCCATTGTTCATTACAGCTATATTTAAAATAGCTAGAACATGGAAGCAACCTAGATGTCCATTGACAGAAGAATGGATAAAGAAGTTGCGGTACATAAACACAATGGAATATTACTCAGCCATAAAAAGGAATGCATTTGAGTCAGTTCTGATGAGGTGGATAAATCTAGAGCGTATTATAGAGAGTGAAGTAAGTCAGAAAGAAAGATAAATATCATATACTAATGCATATATACGGAATCTAACAAAATGGTACCTAAGAATTAAAAGCAATGGAGAAACAGACATAAGAGAATCGACTTACAGACATGGGGAGAGGGGAGGAGAGGGTGAGATGTATGATGAGAGTAACATGGAAACACTTATATTACCATATGTAAAATAGATAGCCAACAGGAATTTACTGTATGTCTCAGGAAACCCAAATAGGAGCTCTGTAGAAACCCAGAGGGATGGGATGGGGAGGGAGATGAGAGGGAGGTTCAAAAGGGAGGGGATATATATATATGCCTATGGCTGACTCATGTTGAGGTTTAACAATAAAATTCTGTAAAGTAATTATCCTTCAATTAAAAAAACAAAACAAAACACAAAAAACACACTAGGTTGGTCCACTGGTTAAGAATCCACCTTTCAATGCAGGCGTCATGGGTTTGATCCCTGGCCATGGAACTGAGACAACTTAGCTGTCCATGCTTCAGGACAACTAAGCCTGCACCCCCAACTAGAGAAAACCCATGCACCACAACAAAGAACCAACACAGCCAAAAAAGAACAACAAATAAAACCTATAAATGTATAACATCAAGAATGAAGAAGAACTTTGGGTGATAATGTGTCAGTATAAATTCATCAAATGCAGCAAACAGGCCACTCTGTACAGGACATGTTGATGGTTGGGGAGACTGTGCATGTGTGGGGTCAGAAGGTATTTTCCACTCAACCTCTGTATTTTCCACTCAATTTTGCTGTTGAACCTAAAAATGCTAAAGCTCAACTGAACCTAAAACTCAATTTTGCTGTTAAACCTAAAGTTGCTCTAAAAGATAAAGTCTATTGAATAAAGTTTTAAATATATACATACATATTAATCCCCCTTCGCAAACCTCCACATACATTTACCTATGTTATTTGCTAGTTCTGTTCATGAAGAAAGCCTCTAAACATTGACCAACCTGGTAGAAATGAGCACCCCTCACACTCAGTTTCGTCCTGAAATACAATTCTGCCACTAAACAAAATCAGGGCTTTTTGGATAAAAAGACAAATTTCAAGTAGGAAATATATAAGACTAGAACATCTTATCACAGAAGACAACAAGAAAGCCAACTACTATAGTCATTAGTAGATGATTTAATAGGGTCAGAGCAAAGTGACACAGAAGGCATAGTAAAGAGACTAAGTATAAACATATGAGGTCATAATATTTCAAAAAATCTAATTAATAACTTTCAGAGAATAAGGAAAATTGCTAAATAACAAGAAAGAATCTTGCCTCTTCTATATGAACTGTAATACTGATAATTAAATAATAGGTAAAATGAGAATCGCTATTTTGCCACATCCAAAGAATTAACATATATGCAATGTGCACCAATATCACAAAAAGAGATGCAACTAGATATAATGTGATGAAAGCATACACTACTGCTTATACTCCTGCTATAGGAACCGAGCACACATTTCATTGTATCACTTCACTGACCTGCCAATCTGCAGAAAATACACAGGTCAAAGAGACATATTGGAAAGCACCAAGAGAATGTAATCAGCATACATGTGGTTTCTTTGTAATCATTTTCTAAGTAAGAACTTAAAATTTTTCTTCTAAATATTTTTACTGAAATAATACTCAGTAATATGCCAATGTTTATACTGTTTATACTTCATTTCTTTATAGTTTAGCAATATACCCTATAAAGAAACATAAAATTTTCATTACTTTAATTCCTTTCTCCACTAAAAAACTGAACCAGTGTATGAGAGAACCCTGAAAGAAACATCTTAACTTCAAAATTTATGAGAAATAATGAAAAACTTACTGGGTAAACTTTTAACCTCCAACAAAGTCCTGAAACTTGAAGAGGTGGACTGTAAACAGGATCTGCTCTCTGGCGCAAAGTACTAAAATAAAAGAAAACCAACCAAATCCCAAAATCAAAACTGTTGTGAAGTTCCAACAGGCAAAACCAAAACCCAACCACTTATGCTACTTATTTGATGTCCTAGACCAGTAAATGAAGGTGACTAAAGAAGTCAAGAGTCCACTACATAAATGTGTATATATGAACATTCTGAAATAAAAGAAATTTTAATGATACAGAAATATTCAGCAGTATCTTTTAAGTTTCAGGTTAAAAAAAAAAACAACCTCTCAATATGTCGTGAATGTAACTACCACGTCATCAAGCAGTTTTTCAGCATTAAAGGGGTAAAGAAACATGGGGAAAACCTGTTTATATTTTAGCAACAAAATTATTACATAAGAAAAAACAAAATAAATTGGAAGTGGTATAAATCCAGGCCTTAGTTTGATGTGTTACCTACCACCCCTTGGCATTTTCTCTTCCCCAGGCAAGATCTCATATTTTTTGTTCCCCACTTCCATGATACCCTTTAAGCCAAGTCCCTTTGGATCTTTGTGTTTTAAGATCTTGGTTTTTAATCTTACAGAAAAAGCAGTAAAAGCTAACAGACTTAGCATGCAAGTTACAAAACTTACAAATTTCTTGCACTAATGTCCTCTCATCCACAAGGTCTCACTTAGGACTGAGATAAATGGGCCCAAATGGACTTCTTCCCACCATTCTTGTTTCTGAGGATGGGTAGGAGGGCTCATCAATCTGTCATCCCATTCACCTCATTTTATTCACAAAAGCTAAGTGAACTCTCTTCTTAAAAAAAAAAAAAAACGGGGGGGGGGGGGTTCTATTTCCAACACTAGAGAAGCAAGCTATCCAGAAGATATAAAACAATTCTGACAAATGACCTCTCCATTCCTAACAGGAACCATGTTTCTTCTAAGACAACACACTGAGTGACAAGAGTTCATTAGGTCTGTATCCAACCAAGGAATGACACCTTCCTGGCTCTCACTTACACACACACACAAGAAACACTAAAGTTGTCGAAAACTCTTACCTGAAATTCTCTAAAACAAAAGTAGCTGAATCATAAGATGGTACCAGTTCACTAAAAAGGAACAAAAACCAAATAAATTATTTGGCTTATTAAAGTTGAACATTTCAAAAGTCAAGTCTCTCAATAATATCTTGAAAATTTTATTAATCTAAAATCAGTCCTTAAGAAGAGCTTCCCAGGTGGCTCAGTGGTATAGAATCTGCCAGTGCTGGAGAGGCAGGAGACCCGGGTTCAACCCCTGGGTCGAGAAGACCCCCTGGAGAAGGAAATGGCAACCCACTCCAGTATTCTCGCCTGGAGAGTCCCCATGGACAGAGGAGCCTGGCAGACTACCGTCCATGGAGTGGCAGAGTCAGACACAACTGAGCGACTAAGCACAACACATACATGGAAACAGGAAAAGAAAAAAATCGGTGCTTAGGCTGGGAACCTGAAGTATGAAACACATAAATGGGTTTTAAAAAATCAAAGAGAAACAAGGAAACGATTTTATACTAAATCCCCAAACTTCCTCCTTCAGAACAAATTATGAGGAATACTGACAGACCCTAAATACTTTGATATTATTTATTAAAAAATAAATCTATATAACGTTATCAGTTCAGTTCAGTTGCTCAGTTGTGTCTGACTCTTTGCAACCCCATGGACAGCAGCACACCAGACCTCCCTGTCCATCACCAACTCCCAGAGTTTACTCAAACTCATGTCCATTGAGTCAGTGATGCCATCCAACCATCTCATCTTCTGTCATCCCCTTCTCCTACCACCTTCAATCGAGTCAGTTCTTTGCATCAGGTGACCAAAGTATTGGAGTTTCAGCTTCAGCATCAGTCCTTCCAAAGAATATTCAGGACTAATATCCTTTAGGATGGACTGGTTGGATCTCCTTGCATTCCAAGGGACTCTCATCTCCAACACCACAGCTCAACAGCATCAATTCTTCTGTGCTCAGCTTTCTTTACAGTCCGACTCTCACATCCATACATGACTACTGGAAAAAACATAGCTTTGCCTAGACAGACCTTTGCAAAGTAATGTCTCTGCTTTTTAATATGCTGTCTAAGTTGGTCATACCTTTTCTTCCAAGGAGCGTCCTTTAATTTCACAGCTGCATATGAGTTAAATTCACTCATTCCAGTCCATTTTAGGTCTCTGAGTCCTAAAATGTCGATGTTCACTCTTGCCATCTCCTGTTTGATCATTTTCAACTTGCCTTGATTCGTGGACCTGACATTCCAGGTTCCTATGCAATATTGCTCTTTAAAGCATTGGACTTGACTTTCATCACTAGTCACATCCACAACTGGGTGTTGTTTTTGCTTTGGCTCTGTTTCTTCATTCTTTCTGGGGTTATTTCTCCACTGATCTCCAGTAGCATATTGGGCACCTACTGACCTGGAGAGTCCATCTTTCAGGGTCCTGTCTTTTTGCCTTTTCATACTATTCATGGGGTTCTCAAGGCAAGAATACTGAAGTGGTTTGCCATTCCCTTCTACAGTATATAATGTTATAAGAATATATAATCACATAGGGGTCAAGCAAGATGATGAAATTAACAGGTTCTTGGCAAGGCAAGGTTACCTAGGGAAGTTTAGTTCCATACAGTCTTCTCCAAAGAGAACTAAACCACATTTACAGGAGATAGGCAAAGGGACAGTCCATTTTCCTGCTAATTACTTTGCTTGCTCAGTCGCTTCAGTCATGTCTGACTCTTTGCAACACTGGACTGTAGCCCGCCAGGCTTTAGTTTATGACAAGTATGTATAGCTAAACAGCTCACATCTTTTTCATAAGCGGATATAAGATATAGTTTGCCTGGAAACTGTTAACTGTATAGCTAGCATCCTATTGTTAAGCACACCTAACCATAGGCCTAGGCAGTTGTTCTCCTAGGTTAGAAGACTCAATCCTCATTCCTAGATTCTTTTGTCTAGTTAATCCTTACTGAGCAACTAACACTAACTACTAACTATATTAATAATATGTTTTTGGCTGTAATTTTGTGCAACCTCTGATCACACAAATATTCTTCAGTTCTCCCACTAAACATCCTTTATAATGTCTACAGACTTCAACCAATTCCTAGTTGCCTGCTGATCTTCGTACTGTTTCTTCCACCATGTCCTTAATATCCACTGTGATACAGTTCCTTCATTTCTGTTATTATTGTTTTGTTCTCAGGCCAGACTAACGCTGTCATATTTTTAATCAGTCATTAATAGCCAAAGGGCTCTGCAAAACACAAAATAACAGAGGACGGAGATGACAAGGTTAACTTGCAACCGTGTGAGGCAGAGAGCTTACAAGCTAAAACAAGAAACTCAAAGTGTTAGCTGCTCAGTCATATCCAACTCTTTGCAGCTCCATGGACTGTAGCTCACCAGGCTCCTCTGTCCATGGGATTCTCCAGGTAAGAGTACTGGAGTGGGTAGCCACTCCCTTCTCCAGAAGATCTTCCCAACCTAGGGATAGGATCTGGGTCTCTGGCACTGCAGGCGGATTCTTTGCTGTCTCAGTCACCAGGGAAGTCCGAGTTAAAGCATGTCAGTCGTTCAGTTGTGTCCCAACTTTTTGTGACCACATAGGACTGTAGCCCACCAGCCTCCTCAGTCCACGGAATTCTCTAGGCAAGAACACTGGAGTGGGTAGCCATTCCCTTCTCCAGGAGATCTTCCAGACCCAGGGACTGAAGCCAGGTCTCCTGCATTGCAAGCAGATTTTGTACTCCCTGAGCCACAAGTTAAAGCATATAGGTCACTAAAGCTTACTGACCAAGAGGGTACAGTCTGGCTCTCACATGCTGAGGAAAAAAAAACATTCAGAGCACAGAGAACAATGATCAATCCTATGGTACTGTGATGTACTCCTACATACATACAGTTTTTCACTGAAGACTTTTCAGACACATGGAACATTAGCACTACAGGGAAGCATTAAAATAGGACACACATACTTCCCCTGTCAACAGTGATCACATTTTATTTTATTACTGCTTCAATCACCCATCTTTTCCCCTAAATCATAACTGAGGAAATAAGAACTCTCTATTGTGCCCTCTACTTGTACATAGCACATGCCTGGGACATAGCTGGCATTCAAATATTCACTGAATAGATGAAATATTTACAAACGTTTGCTGAAAAATTTTCATAATTTGGTAGAAATACTTCCTCAAAAACTTATTTTTGCATTCTTTACACAAACATACAAAGTCATAGTAACTGCTAAACCATCTATCAATTCTACCACCTTTAACTATTAGTATTTTCACATTATGTTCACTCATTCAGAGGTTACCTACAATCATACTGGTGTTGCCATTCTGCCTGCAAATTAGGCACAGGTTTGTCTTCTTAACCTTTTTATTTCTTTTTTTTTTCATTTATTTTTATTAGTTGGAGGTTAATTACTTTACAATATTGTAGTGGGTTTTGTAGTGAGTTACATGTATTCCCCATCCCGATCCCCCCTCCCACCTCCCTCTCCACCCGATCCCTCTGGGTCTTCCCAGTGCACCAGGCCCGAGCACTTGTCTCATGTATCCAACCTGGGCTGGTGATCTGTTTCACTATAGATAATATACATGTTTTGATGCTGTTCTCTCGAAACAATTTGAATCAGTTCTAATGAGATGGATGAAACTGGAGCCCATTATACAGAGTGAAGTAAGCCAGAAAGATAAAGAACATTACAGCATACTAACACATATATATGGAACAGAAAGATGGTAATGATGACCCTATATGCAAAACCTTTTTATTTCTATACCTCTTCTACTCTGGTCTTTATGATGACTAGACGTGTCTCATCATCTCACGATGATATCAGTGAAACTTCATGGAATGTGGAGAGGTTAGCCTCAAAACATCTCTAGTCTAATAATCTAAAAAATATTTATTTGCAAATCTTTAGACCAGAGACTTCATCATAACTTAATAAACAAAGGGAAGAACAGCATTAGTATCCATTGTTCCCTTAAGAAAACAGACTGGTCAGCTACATAAAAACTGGTTTTCCATCCCAAGTTGACCATTTCTCCCAGAAACTAAAGCTCTTTATGGACTGAGAACTGTATTTTCCCTGCTCAGGGAGGACTTAAATGCCCCAAAACAATATAGCTATTGAAATTCCGGCTGAAAAGATTTCTCTGCTGACTTCCAAATACAGCAGCTCTTCTTACATCCTCATATTTTTGTTCATGCACACATATCCTATTCCCATCTGCCCAGTGAAATTCTAAGTATCTGTCAAGTTGTTACACAATTCCTTTCCGGGCTATAAAGTCATCTTAACCACACCAGTATCTAACTACACTTCATCTTAGAATTTCTGATATAAGTAACAAATATTTGATTTTAATTTATAATCTCTACCATTTAATGTGGAATATATATCCAGTAAGATTATTACTTCCTATTCCATGTCTCCTATTTAGCACTTACAACAGTGTTGAGCACAGAGATGATCTTTAATATTGTAAATAACATTAACTTGTTTAATGACCTTTTACTCTCCATTGTGGCTTTATCACAAATCATCAACCAATGGGACTGATTAGCTTAGAAACAATCACCAATGCTTTGCACACCTAAACTTTCCTCCTTAACTTAACATCCATAAATGCTAGACTTTCTTATTTGGCTCTCTCTTCATTGCTGATCTATTCTGCAACAGATGAACACTTGCTTCTTCTATACTGTAAATCATAAATTGAGTTTCTAATAAAAATAACAGTTAAAAGCCAAATTTTCCAGTAAGACAGTAAGGTTTATTGGAGAGGGAGAGGGCCCTAAAGTGACCTTTTCGAAGGGAAAACTCCTTAATTATCAGACTTGAAAAAAAAATATTTCTTGGTGGTTTTCTCTTTATAAATGCCTGTCCCACCTCCCCTACCTAACCCCAATGTCAGTTCCTTCTATCATTACCGAAAAAGCAGGCAGTGAAAGGAAGACATTATTGGGGTTCTGAGTTCCTTGGGCAATTAGAAAGGAAAAAGAAATCAAAACAATCACTAGATGTGATACAGACTAAAACTCAAGAAGTCAAGCAGAGTTGCTTGCCTGAGAAACCGCTGCAAGTGGTATTACCAAAGAGTAATACCAGGAGTAAATTGCTGCAAGTGGTATTACCTAAGAGTTTACCTCTATCAATGGTTGCTAAACTTTAATGCAGAATTACTCAGGGTGCTCACGATTATTTCCTAAATATCATCTCCACAGACTGTCAGGGAACAAGCCTAGGAATTTGCATTTTGGAGAAACACTTCAGCTGGCTCTGATACAGAAAATCCATGTACCCAACTTTGAACTGTAAGAGCCTTTTCCTTATATGTGATATTTATGCCAACACTTGTTACCTTCCACTGGTAATGGGGGAACACTTCAAAAAAGGTATCTTCAAAACTAAAATGGCTAACCACACCTTCCACTGGTAATGGGGGAACACTTCAGAAAAGGTATCTTCAAAACTAAAATGGCTAACCACACCTTCCACTGGTAATGGGGGAACACTTCAGAAAAGGTATCTTCAAAACTAAAATGGCTAACCACACTATCCAATAGTTAGCCTTAGAATATTAATGAACATTCTTAGTTGACTCAAATCTATTTTAATAATACTCAGTGCTTGAACAGAATATAAATATTATATCTGATTTGGTAATTCACAAAGAATTGGAGACTTATCTCATTGGTCAAGGAGAACTATCTGAGTTCAAGTTATCAACAATTGCATTCTTTTTTTGCTTTTAACTTTTTGGCTGTATGGCATGCAGCAACTTAAGTTCCCTAACCAGAGATCAAACCTATGCCCCTGCAGTGGAAGCAGGAAGTCTTAACCACTAGACTGCCAGCAAGTCCCCAGTAATAGCATTCTTTTGAAACTAAGTATATGCATTTGCAAATAAAGTTTAAAAAAAAAGAAAAAGTGTTGTACCTCGTAAAGTCTGGTGGAACAGGAGTGGTAACAAAGGATGCCATAGGCTTTCGATGAACTTGCTGAAACATCATGAGGATCTCTGAGCTCTTAGATATCAATTCACTCTTACTACAAGACCGCAACTGTGAGGAAAAAAAAATATTTGAATAAACAAAATTACAATCCACTGGCACACCCAAGATCCTTAAAGGAAATGTTAGTTATTTTGGTTATATACTGAAAAAAATGACATGAAGAAAAATACAATGATTCTTTGAAAGTGGGTTTGAAAGTTGATAAGTAAAGGATCTAGGTTGATTGATTTCCATTGTCATAGTAAAGTTATTCAGTAAATATATTTGATTTTAATGTATTTTTCTCTCTGTATATTAGCATAAATCCAATTCTAAGCAACTACAATATATTTGTATATCTTATACATGTATATTTATATTTTAGAGTGGTATAGTGAAGCCATTATGTATAAAGAACAAACCTCTAGAAGCCAATGACCTTCAAACATGGATTTCTCAAATTACACTCCAGGGAATTGAGAAATGTTAAGACCTAACACAAAAGAAAGTCTTAACCTCTATCAATTTGGGAAACATTAAGTCAAACCAAAGGTAAAAAGTGAGACATTCAACTTTAGCAAAATCAGCATGGTAGTTAAAAGACTAACTTTGTACTCAAGCCACCAGTTTAAAGTCCCAGTGCTGCCACACATCAGCTCTGTGGCTTATGAGTCTGCTGTGTAAAACTGGAATCATATCCACTGCTGCTTGCTTTGCTAAGTTTGTTACATCAACCATGAAGCTGTGAGACAGCTCTGTAGATACCTGTTATTGGCTGAACTGTATCCCCTCCCTAAACTCATATGTTGCAGCCCCAACCGCTAGTACCTCAGAGTGTAACTACAGTTGGAAAAAAGTCCTTCAGAGGACATAAAGAGAAGGCAGCCATCTGCACACCAAAGAGAGAGGGCTCAAGGAAAACCAAACCTGCCAACATCTTAATCTTGAACTACCAGCCTCCAGGACACTGAGAAAATACATGTGTTGTTTAAGGCTCCTAGTCTTTGTTATGGAAGCCCTAGCAAACCAATACACTATCAAGTGCCAAATGGATGATATTCGTAAAACCCACAACTGGCTTATGTCTTTTAACAGGTAGTTGCTTATAGTTCACCAAGAATAATGATATGACATAATTGATATCATGATAAATACCAAAATTTATAACTTTTATTCAAATATTTATTGAATGTATACTATGTGTATCCCTTTGACCTCATTTCCTCCAAAGGCAGACTTTTAAACAGACATTTTTCATAAGGTGAAGGTAGTTCCTTCTACTCTTAGTTTCCTGAATAATCTGGAAATGAATGAGGATCAAATATAACTGAATTTTATTTTTAAAATTAATATTATTCTATTCATTTTTACTTACATGTGCTTGTGGTTTTAGCCTACAGTCTCTTGAGTTACAAAGAAGTGACTTTTCTGATCATGCAACATTCCTTTGATTAACTCTACCAAGTCTTGCTTTCTTGTTTTACTACATATCCTACTGATTTTGCTTTGCCAGTACTTAAGATTTTGGCATTTCTGTTGGCAACAGAGTTGGGCTTTAATTGTGTTTTTTCATATTCTTATGCTGACTGGTTATGAAATACATTTTCTCGTTTTATTTATTTCTGGCTGCACTGGGACACTGGATTGCTGTGTGCGGGCCTTCTCTACTTGCAGTGAGCAGATCGAGTCTCTAGCTGCAGTGCACTGGCTTCTCATTGCTTCTTTTGTCATGCAGCATGGGTGCCAGGGTGGGCAGGCTTCAGTAGCTGTGGCACTTGAGCTCCATAGCACAGGCTCAGTAGCTGTGGCATGCAGGCTCAGTTGCCCTATGGCATGTGGAATCTTCCTAGAACAGGGACTGAACCCATGTCCCCTTCACTGGCAAGTGGACTACCAAGGAAGTCTAATCCAGTTACATTTATTTACATTTTTTACATCTATTATTTACTACATTATTTACATTTATTATTACTGACAACAATGCCATCAACTAATGACAATACATAAAATAAAGAAAAATACTCAACCCAAAAATAACCAAAAAATTTAAAAATGAAACCAACAAAGGAACAAAGAACAGGTAGAACCAAGAAAACAGCAAGATAGTAAATTCACTAAACATCCCAGTAAAAAGTCAAAGATTGTCAGAAAGGATTAAAAAATGAGACCCAATTGTATATTGCCTACAAGACATGTTTAAGAACAAATTTATTAAAAGAAAACCGACAGAATAAGATAAGACATGGTAAAACACTAGTTAAAAGGAAGTTTAAATGACTTTTTTTTAATGACTTTTTATATCAAATAAACTAGATTTGAAAGCAAACAGGTCTTTCACAGAGATAATGGAAACAGTTCATCAAGGGACTGTAACAATCCTAGATGTTTATGCCCCGACTACTATGGCTTCAAAGTACATGAAGTAAAAACCAATAGAACTGCCATAATACACAAACTATGGAATGACTTCTGAGAATCTGAATCCTCCCCTCTCAATAACTGAAGAAGGGGAGCAGAAAATCCACAAGGATATAGTACACCTGAACATCAACATCAACCAACTTGACCTGACATTACAGCCTATCGGAAAAATCCCCAAATAACTGGAACCTAAGGAACATACTTCTGTAGAACCCATGTGTCAAAGAAGTCACAAGGGATGTAAGAATGTGCTTCAAGCAGAAAGGTCTCAAATCAATAACCCCAGCTTCAATCCTAACATTTTAGGGGAGAAAGGGCAAATCAACCTGAAGACTATACACATGGACAGAAGGCAATGGCACCCCACTCCAGTACTCTTGCCTAGAGAATCCCAGGGATGGGGAAGCCTGGTGGGCTGCCGTCTATGGGGTTGCAGAGTTGGCCACAACTGAAGCAACTTAGCAGCAGCAGCAGCAGCATACACACGGACATCACCAGATGGTCAACACCGAAATCAGACTGATTAGATTCTTTGTAGTGAAAGATGGAGAAGCTCTACAGAGTCAGCAAAAACAAGACCGGGAGCTGACTGTGGCTCAGATCATGAACTCCTTATTGCCAAATTCAGACTTAAATTGAAGAAAGTAGTGAAAACCACTAGACCATTCAGGTATGACCTAAATCAAATCCCTAACCATTATACAGTGGAAGTGAGAAATAGATTTAAGGGACTAGATCTAATAAGAGTGCCTGATGAACTATGAACAGAGGTTCATGACACTGTACAGGAGACAGGGAGCAAGACCATCCCCAAGAAAAAGACATGCAAAAAGGCAAAATGGTTGTCTGAGGAGACCTTACAAATAGCTGTAAAAAGAAGAGAAGTCAAAAGCAAAAGAGAAAAGGAAAGATATACCCATTTGAATGCAGAGTTCCAAAGAATAGCAAGGAGAGATAAGAAAGCCTTTCTCAGTGATCAGTGCAAAGAAATAGAGGAAAACAATAGAATGGGAAAGACTAGAGATCTCTTCAAAATAATTAGATACCAAGGGAACAGCTCATGCAAAGATGGGCTCAATAAAGGACAGAAATGGTATGGACCTAACAGAAGCAGATGATATTAAGAAGAAGTGGCATGTATACAAAGAAGAATTGTACAAAAAAGATCTTCACGACCCAGATAATCATGATGGTATGATCACTCACCTAGAGCCAGACATCCTGGAATCTGAAGTCAAGTGGGCCTTAGGAAGCATCACTACGAAGAAAGCTAGTGGAGGTGATGGAATTCCAGCTGAGCTATTTCAAATCCTAAAAGATGATGTTGTGAAAGTACTACACTCAATATGCCAGCAAATTTAGAAAACTCAGCAGTGGCCACAGGACTGGGAAAGTTGTTTTCATTCCAATCCCAAAGAAAGGCAATGCCAAAGAATGCTCAAACTACGGAACAATTGCACTCATCTTACACACTAGCAAAGTAATGCTCAAAATTCTCCAAGCTAGGCTTCAGCAATACATGAACAGTGAACATCCAGATGTTCAAGCTGGTTTTAGAAATGGCAGAAGAACCAGAGATCAAATTGCCAACATCCGCTGGATCATAGAAAAAGCAAGAGAGTTCCAGAAAAACATCTATTTCTGCTTTACTGACTATGCCAGTTTTTCACTGTATGGATCACAATAAACTGTGGAAAATTCTGAAAGAGATGGGAATACCGGACCACCTGACCTGCCTCTTGAGAAACTGGTATGCAGGTCAGGGAGCAACAGTTAGAAATGAACAAGAAACAACAGGCTGGTTCCAAATCGGGAAAGGAGTAAGTCAAGGCTGTATATTGTTACCCTGCTTATTTAACTTATATGCAGAGTACATCATGAGAAACGCTGGGGTGGATGAAGCACAGGCTGGAAGCAAGATTGCTGGGAGGAATATCAATAACCTCAGATATGCAGATGACACCACCCTTATGGCAGAAAGTGAAGAAGAATTAAAGAGCCTCTTGATGAAAGTGAAAGAGGAGTGAAAAAGTTGGCTTAAAGCTCAACATTGAGGAAACAAAGATCATGGCATCCAGTTCCGTCACTTCATGGCAAACAGATGGAGAAATGGTGGAAACAGTGGCAGACTTTATTTTGGTGAGCTCCAGCATCATTGGAGATGGTACCTGCAGCCATGAAATAAAAAGACGCTTACTCCTTGGAAGAGAAGTTATGACCAACCTAGACAGCATATTGAAAAGCAGACGTTACTTTGCAACAAAGGTCTACTCAAGGCTATGGTTTTTCCAGTATTCATGTATGAATGTGAGAGTTGGACTACAAAGAAAGCTAAGCACCAAGGAATTGATGCTTTTGAACTGTGGTGTTGGAGAAGACTCTTGAGAGTCCCTCGGACTGCAAGGAGATCCAGCCAGTCCATCCTAAAGGAAATCAGTCCTGAATGTTCATTGGAAGGATTGATGTTGAAGGTGAAACTCCAATACTCTGGCCACCTAATGCAAAGAACTGTCTCATCTGAAAAGACCCTGATGCTGGGAAAGATTGAAGGCAGGAGGAGAAGGGGATGACAGAGGATGAGATGGTTGGATGGCATCACCGACTCGATGGACATGAGTTTGAGGAAACTCTGGGAGTTGGTGATGGAC